ACACAGGCCTAAGAAGGATGAACAGTTAACATGTGCTACAACATAGATGGACCCCAAAGACACTTTGCTAAATGAAAGAAGCCAGAGGTGGGAGTCTGCATGTCTGTATGAAATGTCCAGAATACTCAAGTTTTAGAGAAGGAAAGGAGATCTCAGTGGCCTAGGGATAGAGTCTGGCAATAGGGGGCAGGAGGACTCATTCTGGAGTGATGGAACTACCCTACATCTGCACTGTAGTGATGTTTTTCTCAATTCTGTGCATTTGCTACACATCACTGAACTGCACCCTTAAAATTATTGAATTTTATGGGATGAAAATTATACCTCCATAAAGCTATAAAAGTATCTGTGTGGGTCCTGTGGATGCAGATGCCAATTGAGAGGCCTTTCCCACTCTTTGCTTACTAGAGACTCGCCATGCCAGCCCGTGTGTCTTTGGCTCTAGGACCCCTTACCCTGAGGACAGGACTCTCTCTAGAGACTTCTCCATGGAGGGTGTCAGCAAGGACCCACTTGTTCCCAGGGATCTGGTAGAAGAGCCATTGGTGTTTTCTTGAAGCACGTAAGAGCCATTTTATAGGCCATTTCAGGAGACAGCAAATGATTTTCCAACCTAAATAGCTTTCTCCTTGTAGAAATGGCTTCCACCACAGGGACATAAGAAGCACCCAATTTGTCATTTTCTCAGGGAAAAGCAGTGGACGGTTCATGGACCCCAAATGGGCTAGTGGCTAGGCTAGACCTCCAGCTCACTCTCTGTAATCTGGACATCGCCTCTGGGTCCTGCTTCTTCTGGAACAGAGTGTGACTCCTCTATACGTCCCCTAGGGACTGGCATGGAGCGTGACTGTGGGGGAGGTGGGACTGACACCCAGTTTGCCTGGCAGCCCTCAGGATTCTGAGACAGCTCAGAGGGACTCGTGAGCACAGGCTTGGTGACGTGTCACAGTGCAAGGAGTATCCCTGTGCAGAAGAGGGCACGCCCCCCCCCCCACTTATACATACACACACACTCACATACACACACTCTCACACACACTCTTATATCACACACACACTTGCATTCACACATGCTCACACATACACTCACACACCAACACACTCACATACTCTCATACACACTTCCAAACACACACTCACACATTCTCTCTCTCTCTTTCTCTCTCTCTCTCTCTCTCTCTCTCACACACACACACACACACACACACACTCTGGCAGCAGTTCTTAGAAGGGCCCACCTGCCCTGCAGATGTCTGGGTGGATTAAGTGACCGAAACAGAGCATCTAGCGGTGTCACAGCTACAGGGAGATGCTTTGAACTGCACAGAGTATCTGTCAGCGCCACCGTTGGGCCAGAGGGTGTGATCTGTGTCTTGCTCCCAAGCTGCTGCCTGCAGGAAAAGAGTGAAATTCAAGGTACAAGAAGATCCTAAGCAGATGGTCTGCTAGCAGAGCAGGTGGAGAATGAGACCAACGTGACACAACGGGACTCTAGTCATACACTAATGGCCAGAGAGCTGTGTGAGGCTCATTCATATTGATTTCCTGGAGGCACTCTGGCTCTAATGGAATGAAATCAAACAGGTAGCACTTGACCTGAAGCTTAGGAGGGGGAGTCACAAAAGTTTCCTGCACTTGAAGACTTGAGAGACTCTGAGGAGGGATAAGCCCTCCTTGCCGTGACTCCATGTCTGAAACCTGTTTGGGCATTACCTGGACAGCTCATTGAAGGTGACTCTGGAGACGGTCCAGCGGGGGGAACATGGCCTGCGTTTCAATGGTGGATAAAAACATGCCTGAGGACTGTTTGTTGTGTCGCTCTTCCATGTTTCAGCCCTCTGCTTGCACTGCCTTCCCGAAGGAGGGCCTGTTGACATCTGGATTTGCTCCTGTCCCTTCCACAAACCTGGCAGTTTCTCCTGCTGCATGATTGAGCAGCCCCACAGGGCGAGGTGGGGTCCATGATGCTCGCTGCCCCTGGGCACGCTCTGACACTGGACGCGGCTCCTCCCTAGTCAGAGCCTTTCTGTCCCACCAGGCTCAGCCTCGCCGCAGCCTCCTCTGACTCTGGTCACTAGCATCCCAGGGCACACCGGCCATGCTGTCTTCATGACTGCTCGTTACGGTTGTGGTTGGAAGTCTCTGCATTTTGCACATAACTGTTCTTTATTCTTTTGTGGGTGCATCCTGTCACCACCACCACCACCACCACCACCACCACCCCCGCCCCCGCAGTTCCTGAAGGACAGTGATCACACGTTGCGCTTATTCCTAGACTAAAGCTCTGAACACACAGCAGATACTTCCTGCCAATCTCCTGTCCAGTGGAGATGTTCCTGGGAGTCGTTACTACACACAGCCTCAAGAGCTTTATAAAGTCTGTGCTGGGGTGTGTTAGGTTAAATGACTGCAGGATGGAGACAACGCAACTTCGGTTTTGCTGAGTGAGTGGGTCTGTGTCCGTGTGTCCTGCACAGGTCTGCTGATGTGTCCTTGTGTCCTGCACAGACAAGAAACTATAGAAAATGCAACAGCAGCAGCAGCAGCAGCAGCAGCAGAGAGAGCTCTCTTATTATAGGTTGCTTTTCATTCTTGCTTCTCAGTACTTTCATAATGTGTTTATAAAGAACGTTTTGTATTTATAGAGGGAGGAGGTATCTGGAAGTATTAAGAATATGTGAGGTGATGAAACTGATATGTGATTATTATTATTATTACAAGAGACTCAATGCAGTGACTGGAGGGTTTGCAATGAATTAGGTTTTGTTGTCTGTTCCTTTTTAAGGGTCTGTTCCACTGTTTCTCAAAATGTGTTCCAGGGTACACTAGGATCTACCACAGGTGTTACCCACTTAACTAAGATAGCAGGCAGGCACTCGGGCTATAGCAGCCTCCTGGGAATTCACCACGTCTGTGCCCTGAAGATTCCTAGAGCAAAGAACCTGTCAGTTCTATTTAGTGTTTACCAAACTTACCAGCAGCCACGGACTCCTTTTCTCTTATCATGCCTATTACCTGTGTTGCGCATTTGAAAACACAGTTCAATCTTACATGTTATTTTTTAAAAATATTTATTTTTTAGTTTTAGCTGGACACAATATCTTTATTTTATTTTTATGTGGTGTTGAGGATTGAACCCAGCACCCTGCACATGCCAGGCGAGTGCACTACCGCTTGAGCCATATCCCCAGCCCATTACATGTTATTTTTAAATAAGAGTTATAAGTTTAGTTTACAGAGTCTCTATTTTTTTGTGCATTGTTGATATTCCCTTGATTGGAGGATCAGACAGGGCTCAAGGATAGGGAAAGGCTGCTCAAGTACAAAGCCATTTTAGCAACATAAAATTACAGGATCAGTGGCTTTCTCCTTCCCTGTGAATGCAACATAGCACCCGCACTCAGGCCCGTGTCCTAAAGCTTAATTTGCCATAACAGCCCATTAACTGAGGAAATGTGCCCCCAGCTGAATTTATGCAGCCTCCCCCGGGGTCCTTAAGTGGGGGTTTTGAGGGGAAGGCCTTGTCTTCATCTCCAATTGTCTTTCCAGGGGAACTCAGGGCGGGGCTTCATTGAGAGAGAAAACTCCCAGCCCCCCACACGCACCCAGTTATCCAGTACTGAAGGGCTGCAGAGGCTGATCAAAACTGGCAGGTAATCAGGGTGTACACTGAATCTGTGTGCTTCTACCTGGAATGGAATTTGCCTTAAACTGTGGGAATTCACCACGAGCAAAGTTAAGAAGTCCTGGTGGGAGGTCATAAAGCGGAAGGCTGGGACTCGTCTTTCTGTCTCCTGTGCCCCCCCCCCCAACAGCTGCTGCAGTGACAGGCAGGTGTCAGCAGCTCCCAGGGGAACTAAACGCTTGGTTCTCGAGGGCTTCAAGGTGGATATACACACACGGGAGAACCAAGAGATTACATATTACTAAAGCAGAAAATGAAGACGAGAGAAACCATGTCAAACAGGCTTCAAATCAGTCCTTGACTAGTCACATAGCACTTGATGGTCTTTGACTAAGACAGACACAGTCCAGGCTGGCAGTTAATGACAGGATTAGTGAACACCCACTTAACAGCCTATGTTGAACCAGGATTTTCCCCATAGAACTGTTTCAGACAGCATACAAAATTTGGTTTAATGTTATTAAAGATCATGAAATGACCATTAGGTTTAAACGATGTATAGAGACCCTCATTTTCTCTACCCTGGAGTGAGGTGCTCTGGCAGCTGGGTGCCCATTCAGCTCAGTGCCGGGCAGAGCACACTGGGGCAAGTGGGCTGCCCCCTGGAAGGCCGCCTCTGTCCATGGTGACTCTGACACCAGCCACAGCTCTGTTTAACTTTCCAGCCGACTGACACACACACAATCATGAATGAAAAGCAAACAGTGGAAAATAACGCCTTTCACCTCCTTGCTCTTCGCTTGTAGCCTGGTTTCCCCAAGGGACATAGCTCTATAATGGAGTGTCCTGTCTGTGGCCTCTCACACACTAGCTGCCAGAGGCTGCAGTTTTTAAGTAAAGCTTCGAAGTGGGACCAGAGTCCATCCACAGGAAGCTAGTTCAGCAGATGGAGAAAGGGTCTGTGGTCTCTGAGCATTCAGAGTAAGAGGAGGGGCCTGGTGAATGTGCCTGTCAGTAACAGGCAGGGAGCTCCTGTCAAGGCAGGGGACCCTGTAGAGGTCAAGGCCTGCTGCCCCTGGGTAGGAAGCCCCTCCCAGGGCTGCCCAGCTCTCTGCAGCCACAGCATGCTCTGAAGTTTCCCAGATCCAGGCAGGTCACCTGTTGGAATCAGGTTCTGGTTAGGAGCCTGGGGAAGGCCTGAGACTGCGTTTCCAGCAAGCTCTCAGGAAATGGGGCAGTGGAGCTGGGCTGGGTCTGCTCTTGGCACCCAGCACCTGGCTCTGGCGCACAGGACACGGCAGCTGCCCTGCGCCCCGTCCCAGTCTGCAGACCCCGTCCCAGGTCTGCAGGCCGTTAACCGCCTTCTCTTCCCCAGGGGAGGAGCGTCCCCGGGAGCCCCTGGGCCCGGCGGAGGCCCAGGCGCCGGGCGGGGCAGAGGCCGGAGGGAGGACCAGCCGCCGCCGCTGGACGTGCTCAAGGGCGCAGTTGCACAAGACGTTCTGGGGCGTGGCCGTGGTGCTGTGCGTGTGCGCCTCCTGGGCTGGCTCCACGCAGCTCGCCAAGCTCACCTTCGCCAAGTTCGACGCGCCCTTCACCCTCACCTGGTTTGCCACCAACTGGAACTTTTTGTTCTTCCCGTTGTACTACGCGGGGCACGTCTGCAAGTCCACCGAGAAGCAGTCTGTGAAGCAGAGATACAGGTAGGCCCTCCTGACCCTGACCACCTGTCCCAGGCAGTCCCGGGCCACTGGCCCAGGTGGGAGGTGGGAACCCGGGACAGTCTCAATGCACCTGCTCATTCACTGGGCCAGGACCAGAATCCTCCTCACCCTGGCTGGTGAGCCTCTGCCTGCACCTCCATCCCGCAGCCCTACCAGCTGCTTCCTTTCTGTGAAACAGGAGTAGGCAGTACCCTCCAGAAGTAAGGAATGGAGCAGAGCTCCTTCCAGCTGGGGTGAGGACCTGGAGTCCCTGGAGCCAGGTGCCTGGGAGCAAAACATAGGCTCCTTTGGTATGTGATTGCAAGGTCTTGGCGTCTGCAGTGTGGAGACCAGAAGCAAAGCAGCTGTGGACTTCGTTGACTCATATATTGCACATGGAATTGATGCCCCTTTCCAAATAAGCCCAGAATCCTGATCCCATCTCAGTCTGCAACAGCCCCCGACTCCTGCCAAGGCCCCAACCCTCCCCTGGAGCCTCATTGTTAGTGTTGACCCCAACTCCTCCAGCTGATAGTGCACCTCATGTTGCCCAGGTGGAGAACCATGTGGGCTGTCAAGCACTGGCTCAAGTCTGTCAAAAACCCCAAGAAAGACTGCTGGCCAAGGTGTCACTATAGGCCCTAGAAACTTGTCTTTTATCAGTCCCAGAAGTGAACAGAAATTTTGAGGTGATGACAACCAGTGCCTTCTTCCTCCCCATGTCACCCCACCGCACCCCAACACATACCCTTACAAAATGGCCAAGTCCAGTCGAATGTCCACTTCAACCCTAGCCCTGTCCTGAAGTTGCCCTCCCAAGCCACAGATTAACTAAGCCCATCACTGGAGCCAAAGAGGAAAGTGGTTTGGAAATGGAATTCTAGATTGGGATCAGAATTCTCTTGGGAACTCACCATTCTGTCCCCAGAGACTGGAGATGCAGGTGCCATACTCCTTAAAGGTCCTGGCTCCTTTAGAAGACCAGTTTGTAAAGTAGAGCAGGAGTTCTGGAGGAACAGACCCTGGGGAGCCACCCTCAATCAGCTGAGACACCCAGCTAGCCTTGCATGTCCCCTCAGTGGAAAGGGTTTGGGGCAAATGCTGGGGACAAGGCATGCGGGGAACACTGGCCAGGCGCTCACGATTAGACACTGAAGTCAGGACTGCGGCATCCTCAGGGCTGATTTCAACCAGTTGCTCAGAGCCAGCCGGAAATTGCCAAGGAGGCACTGAATGCCTCTAGCAGAGGCCTGAAAGCAAGTTTCATGCCCTTTTTCCACAAAGAACTAGGGGAGCAGAGATGGAGGCCCCTTGATGACATCAGCTGCTCCTGCTGGAAGGGCCTCTCTTCAACAGTAGCCACTGACGTGAGCGGGAGCCATGGCTGTGCCTGGGGGCAAGGCTGGCACTGTGGCCACTTAGGGCAGCCCCAGCAACATTTAGACTGTTGGGCTGGAAACCACACTTAAGGAGTGAAGCTCAGTGGTGGTTGAAAGGTCAAAGTAGGAAAAAAGAAATGTCACTGAAGGGGCCCCATTTTGCATGAAAAGACATCACTCCTTGACTTCAGTTGGTGCCTTCCTATACAAAGCATCCAGAAAGAATTCAGAAACCCTTGCAGGGACTGGTGTGTTGGCTAGAGAAAGTGGGGGAGTGTGCAGAATCCTACCTTGATTAGTGAAACCACTTAAAACTGAGCCCAGTTTCTCTCACAAAACTCAGCTCCAGTTCCCAGTAAAAATTTTTCTAATTGGAAAGATTTTCCCATGGCTGAGCGGAGGAGCTGCTCGTTTTCCAGTCAGGTTTGGATATTTGGTGAAGCCATGCATGCCATGAGAGGGGTGAAGAGTCTCCCCCAGGAGGGGAGAGAAGAATTTGAATGTCACTACAGACCCTCCTAAGGAAACCATGACTGTCACAGCTCAGATGAGGAGTGCTTTCAACAGCTTTTGCATTGCCAGAACCGAGGAACACTGAAACGACATCTTCTATCTTCATGCCTTTATCAGAGTTAATGAGAGAGAGCAGATGTAGGGCCTGCTGAGGAGATGGGTCCTTGGTTAGCAGTCTTAGCAGGGGGCTGGGAGACAGGAGGCCAATAGACACACATTGCACAGAGAGTGGGCTTAGCAGACAAGCTGGCTTTCCTTAGTTATTAGGAAGCAGTCAGATGGAAGTTTCTTTCTCCAAGCCCTCTCCCACTCAGCTGCTATCCCCAAATGAAGCGGCAGAAGGCAGGTGAAGCAGAGAGGGAGATGAAGGTCCCTGGCTCAGAGCTCCTTGGACTTGCCAGCCAAGCCATCTGACGCAGGGCTTCTGGGTGGCACGAGAGCCTGCCCTTCTGGAGAGCATCCAGGATAGCCTGGTGCTGCTGGACAGCAGGCTGCACTGTGACCCTAATGGCTCTGGAGTTGTTGAGTCTCAGTTATCGGTTTTTAAAAATGCTGATGATCTGACCCAGTGTAGGAACCAGGACTCACCTGGCCACATAGAACTGACTGTAACTTGCTGTTGCAGCCCTGGTCCTCTGCTACTGGGGAGGGAGGCTCTGTGGACATGTCATTTAAGCTCTCGGAGCTTTAGATGCCCACTTATAAATAGACGATTCAGACCTCGCCTTGTGCAAAACATTGCTGTGTGATCAATGAGGCACCGTATGTGAATGTACCCTCTTATCTGCTGTCCGCCACATAAATGCAGAGAAGCGTATGCTGTGACTCCTGTGGGCTGAATGGAAGGGTGCACCAGGGCTTTGTTCATCCACCGCCTTTCCGTGGCCCATTCAAACCGCAGGAGAGCTGACCCCAAGGTACCACACTCAGGTTCCCTTTGAGAAATCAATCTGCAGCCTAGTGGCTGCACAGGACATCCTAGAACACTGGCCAGGCACTCACGATTAGACACTGAAGTCAGAAATTAAACCCAAGTAAAAGACCTCTCAGCCCCATTGACCTGGCATTTTGGCCCTTGACTTGGGGTTGTCCCAGCTCCTGGAGCACAATGGGCACCTCCCTCCTCTATGAGGGGCACCCACCATGTCTTTCCTGATGCTCGCTGACAGCTGTCTGACCTCATTGGATGGCACAGGATGCCCTGAGGAGGCAGCAGTGCCCAGAACTTGGGGACAGCTCCAGCCAAGGAAAATCTTAAGTGTGCTGAGTATCGCAGTCTCCTGGACAGCTGTGCACTGAATCTGGGGTGGTGAGGATTCAGAGGAAGGCCACACCAGCTCTGCAGCCTGGAGAGACTGTCAAGAGAGGTGTGAGGACACACAACCTCTGGGTCCTCTGACCTTGGGAGAGAAGGATGGCTTCCCAGGCCCCAGTGCCTGCCACCACCAGCAGAATCCAGGCAGAAGCAGATGTGGGGCATTTGCAGTCATGTCAGAGGGTCTTCTGGGAGCTTGCAGCAGCAGTGACCTGTTCTCTGCTATCATGTAGCTACCCAATAAAGGTCACCGTGGTGGAATTCTGGTGCAGTGGCAACAGATGTTTTCCTCTGCCTGTTGTAGTGCCAGTCTTTTGTAAGCCAGCCAGTTGGCTCTGCCCAGCCACTGTAATGCCATTCAGAGCCGAGGAAGGGGAAGGGCAGCTTGGATCTCTTGCAGTGCTACCTGAGGCTGATGTGTACAGATGGCCAAGGAACCATCTTGGGTCTTGTGGCTGTTCAGAGTCTAAGGAGCAGAGTGGAGCAGTTCCGACCTTGAGGTTGGTTTGTACTGTAATTGTTATCATGTCTTCTCTAGGAGATGTGCTAGGGATGCAATGATAAATGATTCCTGTCCCCAAGGATTCCCAAATCTGGTAAACTAGGCAGGGTGCGTGCCGGGGAGCCAGTGCAGAAGGCTGGGTGCGTGTGTCCTGGCAGAGTGGAAAGGTTTGTAGGAGGAAGTGAGCCAGGAAGAGCAGATGGCCCGCCAGCCGCTGAAGGAGGAGGTCAAGAACACCCGCGCAGACGGAGATGGAGCCCAAGGGAGGGCTCCCAAGAGTGTAGGAAGTGAGGCAGGAGGAAGGGCAGATGCTGGCAAGCCTCCTGCACCCTGCAGAGGAGCTTCGGCTCTGGCACATTTGTGGCAGGGACCATCAGAGGGATGATCAGATTGGATCTTTAGAAATCCGTTGCTCCTGCCGCTGTGTTGAGTGTGGGATGGAGCCAGCTGCAGATCGTCCAGTTCACCAAACTCTTCCTCCACTTTGGTGTGCCCAGGGCATGCAGGCAGGTGTGGATGGCACAGACGTTGATCGTGACTCTAAGGAGCTCACAACCAAATGGGAGAGAAGCCCAGGCCCAAACAGTAGGGTGAAGGAGGAGATGGGCGATGGAGGGGACCAGACTGTCTTGACTGAAGCTTGGGCTCCAGCACAGGGTGGAGTGGATCTCAGGCTCCACAGGCAGATGGAGACACAGGTGGGAAGCACCCTGGGGCCAGCCCACAGCTGAGGCTTTAGTCTCTAGGCACTGGGGGCTCCAAAAGCTTTTGAGCAAATCTGCTCCAATCAGAGCTACTTGGATTCATGGAACTAATTTTAACTGGTACCACACATGTTCCCATCTCACGTTAAGAGTGGGATGATTGTCAGGGGTGAAGGAAGGGATAAAATATCACGGGTTGGTCCCCCTGCCACCTGTTTGGTGTGAGGGGGGTTCCTAGGAAATCTTGAAATATTACAGAACCAGGTCTCTTGCTTTGAACTGCCAACTTCCTCTTCAGCCTTCAGCAAGATCTTGTGTTGGTGAAAATCATTTTCACAATTGTCATTTCCATCAAACCCCAGGATTCTGAAAATAAGTGGGAATCTTCTTTCCAGGGAGTATTTGTACACATTTTCAGGCACAGCGGTGGGTGCCCTATGTCTCCCTGCCCCGTCAGGCCTCACCCTTGACTTGGTTGGTGGCTTTCTTTACTTTCCCTTTCTGGAGGGAGCCCCAGACGCGTTCCAGCCTGTTCCCACCAACAGCTGTTCATCAGGTGGAAGCCCCTCTGAAATCTGTCAGAGGGG